AGCCAATTAAACCTCTTTTCTTTATAAATTACCCAGTCTCAGGTATTTCTTTATAGCAGTGCAAGAATGAACTAATACAGTGAATATCCAAGGCAGTGGGGGAAACAGAAGTAAGGCAGAAGTAGGAATGAAAGGTATGAGAGATGGGAGAGGGGTCCATATTTAAAGGTCCATACTTAGATCCTATCTGTAACTCATTTACTCTTGTTGCACACTGACTCATCTCTGAGCTAGGAGAAGCTCGCATGGACTGCAGAAGTTTGGCTCTTGAGTTTAGAATGGAATGGTGTCCTGAGATCTTGCTGGTCATTGATGAGTACGGGGAAGAGGGTGTGGCTGTATTGACCGGTTATCTAGAATCACCATCACATCAGGAAACATGAGTGTAGAGCCACGCTCTGAGGATGCTGTCATCATAGCAGGAGACACATAGCCTTCTATGTTGTCATTACTGCAGCTCCTGTCAGACTTGCCCTGACAGGCCAGTTTAGTTAGAGTGGAGGGACTCATCGGGCATGGAGAGGCAGGGGCCCATGAGGCACCGACGCAGCAGGACAATGAGAGGGCCGAGGAGCATGAGGACTGGGAGCCATGGTGCCCAACACACCAGCTAGTGTGCCAACCTTCCTTTTTATCTCTGCAAACTTTGATTTTTTTTCTAGAATTTGACTTCAGGATTCTAAAAATGAAAAACAACAGAAAGCCCTGACATGGCGGCTCCCTCCTGTAATCCCAGCATTTTGGGAGGCCAAGGCAGGAGAATCACTTGAGTCCAGGAGTTTGAGATGAGCCTGGGCAACATAGTGAGACCCTATCTCTATTTAAAAAACAGAAACAAGTAAGCAAAAAACTACAAAAATAATATTCATGTATGGTCATACATCTAGTATATACCAGGCATGCACAACAATCCTTTTTGCTTATTTTCTTTTGCACATACTAACCCTCCCCTCACTCACTCCCTGACCTTCTCTTTCTCTTCAGCTTCCTGTTGAGTTTGGCCAAGGGTGGGAGATAGTAATGGAGGCCAGACAATGAGAGGACAGAAAAAATAGGGGTGTTTGTTTTCCACATCTCCATGTCTATAGCACCTAGGCCAGAACCATTTTTCATGGATTTACAGAATGCCCCATTTATTGCCATGATATCTGTATTAGTCCATTCATGAACTGCTATAAAGAAATACCTGAGACTGGGTAATTTATAAAGAAAAGAGTTTTAATTGGATCATGATTCTGCAGGCTGTACAAGAAGCATGGCTGGGGGGGCCTCAGGAAACTCACAATCATGGCGGAGATGAAAGGGAACAGCACATCTTACAGGGCTGAAGTAGGAAGAAGAGAACGAAGCGGGAGAAGCCACATACTTTTAAAGAACCAGATCTTGTGAGAACTCACTCACTATTACAAGAACAGCAAGGGGGAAATCTGTCCATGATCCAGTCACCTCCCACCACGTCCCTCCTCCAACACGGAAATTACAATTCAACATGAGATTTGGGCAGGGACACAGAACCCAACCATATCAGCATCCCTCACAGCACTGCCTCCTTTGAATGAACTCACATGCTGAAGAAAGGGTCATGGAGATGGGTCTAGAGAAAGCAAGTAGCTGCCTCGTGCCCCTCAGCTGGAAAAGGGAGTTAATAGTCAGACCAGAGTTGATTCTGAACTCCCTGCTGTTTCCTCCAAAGTGGCTGCATCTCATTATGGCCGTGGTGGGTACGTCTTCTATCATGGCAAAATGTTTGCCCTGCACTGAGACTCAACGAAGGTGATTTAAAATGTTAGCAGGAGAAAACAGTACGTTGTGGTGGAAAGTGCATTGAACTGAATGAGATAGTGAGGTTTAAGGACTATCTGATGCTGTCTGAGACAACAAGTGAATGTGTTACCTCACTTCTCTTCACCTCAGTTAGTCGTCCTGAGTTAGTCCTCAGTTAGCAGAAGGAGGGCAGAGAGCCAAAGGGGAGGTTGAGACTATCCTGGCTGAGGGGATGTTTCCCACCCACATCCAGTCACCATTAACCAGAGAAATTTCATGCACAGTTGGGTCCTCATTCCTTCTCCTTTGCAAGGTGAATCCTGATTCTGTTCACCCCCATCTGAATGGCTGTGTGCGCTGGGGAAAGAATACCCCCAGAAGGCACCTTTATAAGTCCCTCATAGCTTGTTGATCTCATTTCCCTTGCCAAGGGACTGCTTCGCATGGAAGTGTAAGGCATTTTGGGCTGAAAAGATGTAAGGGAAACTTGCAAGAGGCTCTCTGGGAAGGGATTTCTTGGTCTTAAGAAGTTACACAAGTGAAAGGATTTCTCTCTTTCCCACAGAAGCCATGAGGAGAGCCATCCTTAGAGGACACCACTCTGCGGATAGGAAAGGGAATCGATGCGAGGAATCTGGGTCTTTGTTGTCAGCATCGGCCCCCGATTTAAATAACCCTGGAACTACCCTCTCTCACTTAACTTCTAGTTTTATGAAATAGTAAATGTTCCTACAATGTATGGATAATGTATTCAAACTCCTATGGTTCAAACTCTTTTCTGCTGGATCTTCAGAGTGTGGTTCCTGTATTCACTTCTAACATCCAAGGACATCGTCTAAGGGAGATAGTTCTGTCCTGGTCATTTTTGGATCTTCTTATTTTGTTGTCTTTGTCTAAACTATCATGTATTTCCTTTAAACAGTCACCCCCGCCATGTATGGTCAAGTATCATATAATAAAATCTTTTGAAATTTAGGACCCCGTGTCTTCTGAATTTGCTGCCTTTACCGTTCCCTATTCTCAATTCTCCCAGCTTTCGATGTTTTCTCCATTACCCAGTATTCAACTTGCTCTCTCCCTCGGGTTTGACTTTGAGACCTGCCTTTTCTATTTTGGCTTTGACTTCCCATTATTTAAGATCCAGGGAGTGAAGATTTTACTGCCTTCCCATGATTTAGGTAATATCCCTAGGATTTTCCCTCCCATTTCCTAACTGTCCCCTTGATTCCCATCTGTTTCATCTTGGGATGTTTGCTTCGAATCCTTTTCTGTTTGAATTTCTCTTCTGGGCTCTACTGCTAGCACGTCTTCTTACTCACTCCAGAGGTTTTGTCCAGTTGCTGGGACTCTGCAGTTTGTCTGCACTGGCTCTAAGTTCCCTCCCCGAAGTGCTGAGTCATCATCAACTCTGCTTCCCAAAAGGGTTGCTTCTCTTGCGTGTGCACTTCATGAAAAAAGCCAGCAGTAGCTGTTAACTAGGAAGAATTTCTCCCTCTGTGGAGTTCTGCACAATCGTCTCTGCCTCTTCTCTGACAGACAGAAATTTAAATCTTGCTCTGGATATTTTTGATGCAAACAGACACACGCTCAAACTGGACATAACGCTGTTTTATGCTGCTGACCACCTTCTCATCCCCAGGCTTAGAAACCAGGCCTTCTTCTGTTTGGTATTAGGTATTTTAGGTATTTTGGTATTTATATGAGAACTACATTCGGAGCTGAGAGGTATGCAAAAATGTACAAAAAGTCTCCCTGTCCTTGTTTTAGTAGGAGATGCCTGCCTACCTTCCAGCTCTTAAACTCCATGCTTCCAAATAAGACAGTAAAATATTCCACTTTACGAATTGCTAACAGATTCTTGGACTGAAGCAAAAGTCACCCTTAACACTCCTGATTGGATAACAATGCAAAGTACAGTGGTATAACATGTGCAATGCATTGTCTTTTCTTTCTAAAAACTAATTTTATGAAACTCCTTAATTGAATGGGGCTTAAACTTCCTGTGGCATAAAACCAAATAGAATTACACTGATGCTAAAAATGTAAATGTATCCCAGATACTACTGACTGATGTATTCATGGGAACATTTAGGCCTGAAGACTTGTGTGCACGCACTGTGATGGTAAAGCAGAGCCTGACGATCACGCATTTGAGATAGAAACATACATGGGAATTTCTTTTGAATTCTCTGTTTTCTTAGGATTTTAAAACTAGTTTTGACCTTGAAAGCCTGGAATGTCAGATCTGAGACGAACTCTAAGAGATCATTTGTTCGTTCTTCAGATGGTGAAAGGATACCTGGAGGAGTAAAGAGACCACTCAAGGCCATTCAAAGTACTGATGGAGCCGGGGCCAGGTCAGTTCAACACATCTGCATTCAGCCTCTATTTCGTGCCTATCACTGCCCTGGACATTGAGATCCAGACGTAAAAACACAATGACTGCTCTTGAGGTCGCCCCCAAAGTGTTCAGAAGTCCAGGTCAGTTCTTCTGCTTTCCTTCTCAATTCTGAATAGATTTCTTGAGAAATAGGAAACTCTACATTTCATTTAATAATAGCGCATGGTTAGGGGAGTAGGAAAAAATAAAGGAATAGCTTCCTATCTCCTAGTCTTGAGCCCCATTCCCCAAGCAGAATCCTACACTGAGTGGCAGAGGGTCGATTAGCTATGCCCATTGCAACTTCCTTCAGTGCCCATAATTCCACGGCACAAGCTTAATTCTTATTATTCATTCATAACACATCCATGAATAGCCACAGCCCGGTGACATTTTGGCTCATCACCATCTCCCTGTTCAGTGGCTGGTTAGGGGATATCCTTTGGAGAATGCACGTATGACATGCTTATTTTCCTTTTTAGGGGGGTAAAAATGGAGAACAGGCAGCCACTCAAGTGGGAAAATTGCACCGGGTGATGCCGCTCTACTAGTGTGAAGATTTTGGCTCTGATGTTGGGACCTGCTATCTCACTTTTAGTGCTGTTGCCAGGCAGGCTTGTCACTGACACAAATTTTCCTCCCTGATAAGTTGAACTCTCCCCCCCGCCCCCCAACTTCATTATGCCTGCAGCCGAAGCTCTGCTGTAGAGGAAGCCATGCCAGACACTGTGATTCACGTGCCTAAAATATCAACTGGCCTGGGTATGCGAGTGAGGCGATAAATCTGGAAAACATAAATCAGATCATCAGATGCTGTTATCTGTTCCCGCACACAGGCTGCAGCAGGCATGGCAAAATGCCCTTCAACTCTGGGGTCTACAGCCAGGTGGAGGTTAAAGGATATAACTTGCAGACCAAGGAAAGATGGGTAAGGAGGACCAGAGCTGACGTGCAGAAGAGGACTTAAAACCACCGCCATTCAGCACAGACACCAGACATAGGACATGGATTCAGTCTCTGAGACTGTAGGGAGAGGCTGGACAAGGAAGCATAAAGAGAGGCCCCCAAATCATCTAATGTAAAGAGCTTGGGCTAATGTGTAGTCCCTGAGTCTGGACATGGTAGAGAAGATGTGCTTCAGCTTCACTAGGAACTGTCAAGACAAGAAACAGAATTTACAGAATCTGGTAGGTAGAGAGACCACTTAAAGAAGACTCTGGAAAAAGCCAACCAACATGGCCCTTCCTTTAGTGAACAGAGAAAAGTGCTTCCATTGAGCCACTTAATCATTCCAAAGCACAGAAGAGAAGGGCCTTGTCGCTATAGCTGAGGCTGGGCCATCAGATCACAGGCTTTCTTGACCTGGGCTTGGGAATAACTGGCTTGTTCACAAATGACAGTGCTCCTCCGTAGGAAAGTAAGGAGAGTTCATAGCTCAAATTTCTAACGTTCAAGCCCTGCTTTGCCAGAGTTAGGTCCTGCTGCCTCAGTGTGACCCTAGCCAAAAATCACATCAGACCCTTTGGGGCTTTGTGCCTGGGGACATGGGAGAATAACTAGGAGTAGAGAGGAAACAGATGCGGGATGAGGTGGAGCTGGGAGCCGCATTGGATATCCACTTAAGGAAATTAAGCAGCGATCCAGGTTCCACCCCCAAATGTCCAAGAGTCACACCCAAGGGAGTGAAGGAAGACCCATGTGTGGATTGAAAGGTTCTATGTGACATCATGGTGTCAGATGAATAAGGCCAGCGCACCTGTCTCCAGGCATCAACCAGTGAGACCATCTCAATGCACAACAAGGTGAAATGCTGAGAAATTCACTGTGGTTTATCTCTTTTGCTACTGTGACCTGTCAGCAAAAACAATGGAAAGATAATTTTCCCCTTTCCCTTCCAGGAAAGGCAGCCAGGGCTTTGTGTTCCCAGATCTGGGTGCCTTGACCCCAGGCAGGGGATTTCCAGTTTTTTGTGAATCAGGCCCACCTGGGGGAATGAAGGAGGCTTCCAAGAAGGGAAAGGGATAAGAGGTAGAAGTTTTTGTTCTTTGTGAGTAAGAGCATGCCAGGGCCTGACCCTGAAGAGGTGGTTGGATCCCGAAACTTGGAAAACAAGAAAGGGTAGGTTTGCGGGATTCTTCACATAGCCTGTCCCCTAAACTTTGTGACCCAGCCAGATAGGAGACGGGCGTCGATATTCACTGATCTTAGACATTGTGGCTTTGGGAGCAGGATTAAGTATTTTCTTAGGGTGCCTGGGGATGTGGAGAGGAGCCTCAAAAGCCTTTTGTGGTTGCCTGGAACAGAAATACCCAACAGAGGCAGGGACCGACATATGACAGAGGCTTCAAAGAGAAGAAACAGCCACATGACAAGAATGAACCAACTGATGGAAAATAAGCTGCTGAATGAGTTGACCTTGATGATCTGCCAAGTCCAAGACTTATTATTCTCCATGGCCCCTGTCTCTTCTTCGCAAGCTGATCACAATGCAGAATGACTAATGCAGCACCCATGGACTTCCAGTTCACAAGCACGCTCTGTTCTCCTTCCAGCCTGGGCCGGGTGATGGTTGTACAGCTGTGCACCATCTGAATGCTACTATCTAGTGATAAGTCCATGCTTGTGGATACTGGGGGAAGACAAAGGCTGTAGATTGGCCAGGTCCAAGGTGCTGACAAGAAACATTACAAAAGCTTTAGATTTCATTTAAAAAGCTTCTGTTCCTTTCATTGCCAGAATGTGAAGCCCACAGCTGGACATCATCAAGCACCAACATGCAGGGGGCCATTTCCTTGTTTGCACAGGAAGCCCCTGCATACTCTGTATTGCTCTGGAGTCATACCACCGAGCCAGTCAAGGTCTCGACTCTGGCCTTGACACATGGCTGGCTTTGACTTTGCTTTCTGAGTTCAGCTCATTTCCTGGGTCATCTCCCTGGTAAAGACAGCACTGCCTCATCCAGGCAGGTGCTCAGCCAGCCATGCTCGAAGTCCCTTAATGCCCTATGACTGGTCAGCGGTCTCAGGGGGTGAGACTTATGGGTGTCAGTTGGCTTCCTTGTGCCCCAGTGGCTGTCCTCATCATCACTCTTTATCCCACTTTCTAATGTTCACCCTCTCTTCTCTGTTAGTAAACTCCCAAGACTTCTTTAAGGTCTACCTTAAGCACCCTTCTCTGGGATCCTTCCCAAAACCTCAGCAGAACTCACTGCTTCTACCTCTACCCTTGGTCCATGATTTTATTTCATTGTAGATTATAGTTAATTGCTTACCTATCTATTTTTCTTTCTTTCTTTCTTTTTTAAGATGGAGCTTCGCTCTTGTTGCCCAGGCTGGAGTGCAATGGTGCGAACTCAGCTCACTGCAACCTCTGCCTCCCAGGTTCAAGTGATTCTCCTGTCTAAGTTTCCTGATTAGCTGGGATTACAGGCACCCTCCACCACACTCGGCTAATTTTTGTATTTTTAGTAGAGACGGTGTTTCACCACTTTGGCCAGGCTGGTGACTCCTGACCTCAGGTGACCCACCCACCTTGGCTTGTTAAAGTGCTGGGATTAAGGCATGAGCCACCACATCCGTAGTCTGTCTTTCTCACTTAAAAAATCTTTGGAGAAAAAAAAAGCCATATTTTACTAATTCTCTGAGCCTAGTGTAAATACAGGTGTAATAAGCATTTTTCCTTCTGTCATTTACAAATTCATTTTAAAGAAATACTGTGTAGGTGGAAAGCCCAAACTAGGGAAATATCTGGTTTCCAAGAGATCACAAGCTATCCAAGTCAAAAATTCTAGTAAAATTGCGTGTGGAAAGAGAATTTTGCTTTTTATAAAAATTGTAAAATATATGTTAATATCAAATTCACTATTTTGGCTATTTTTATGTGTACAACTCTGTGGCATTAAGTACATTCACATTGTTGTGCAACCGTCACCACCATCCATCTGCAGACCTTTTTTATCCTTCCTAACTGAAACTCTATATCCATTAAACAATAACCCTTCATTTCCTCCCTCCCACCCAGTCCCTGGCAACCACCATTCTACTTTCTGTCTCTATGAATTTAACTACTCTAGATTTCATATCTGTGGAGTTGTATTCGTCCTTTTGTGACTGGCTTGTTTCACTTAGCATAATGTCTACAAGGTTCATCCATGTGTCAGAATCTCCTTCCTATTTAATACTGAATCATATTCCATTGTATATGTATATATGTACACCACATCTGATTTAGCCATTCACCTGTCAACAGACACGGGGTTGCTTCCACCTTTTGGCTATTGCTGCTATGAACATGAACATAAAAATATCTGTTCAAATTCCTGCTTTCAATTATTTTGAGTACAGAGCCAGAGGTAGAATTTCTGATAATTCTATCCTTAATTATTTGAAGAATCATCATACCATTTTCCATGGTGGCTGTAACATTTTACAGTCCCACCAACAATGCATGAGCATCCTAACTTCCCACACCCTCACCAACACTTGTTCTTTAATCTCGCTTGGTCGCCAAGGCGGGAGTGCGGTGGCGCGATCTAGGCTCACTGCAACCTCTACTTCCTGGTTCAAGCAATTCGCCTGCGTCAGGCTCCCAGATAGCTGGGATTACAGGCATCCACCACCATGCCTGTCTAGTTTTAAAAAATATTTTCAGTAGAGACGGGGTTTCACCATGTTGGCCAGGCTGGTTTTGAACTCCTGACTGCAAGTGATCCTCCCACCTCAGTCTCCCAAAGTGCTGGGATTACAGGTATGACCTACCTTTTTTTAAAAAAAATATCTCTCCCAACCAGTGTGAAGTGTTATCTCATTGTTGTATTGATTTGCATTTCCCTAATGACTGGTGATGTTGAACAAAAGATAAATTTCTTCACTAAAATTTTTTAGATTATTAAAGAAATATATCAAATACTATAGAACATTTGTTGGAAAATACAGAAATAAAAATTAGAGGAAAGTGTAGGAACATACAAGAGAAAAGAAAACTTTAATTACCTATAAGTAAATACTGTTAACATTTTAGGATACCCTTTCAGTCTTTTTTCCCATGTAAATGAATTTTTCTGGCAAAAATTAATTTTCTTAGCAAGAAGTCCCCACTCAACTCTGCCCCAGAAGAAAACTTTTTTGTTCAGTGAATTATGTGATAAGTTCCCTGAGGAACATGTCTGAAGTTAGTTTTTGATTTAATACTGGGTTTTTGTTGTTGTTGTTTATTTTTTTTTCGGCTGAGCAGGCATGAAACAAAGAGTAAGAGTCAATTGCTAGGGCAATGAGACTTTTAGGGCTGTCGATGTTGGAAAGGATGCATTCAACCAGAGAAAAGTAAACAGGTGAGGTGAGGCTGCTGGCAGAGACAGAGGAAGAGAGTTTGGAGGAAAGAACAGATACCCATGGAAGATTTTGATTACATTTCTGTGATCTCACCAGACCTTCAGTAAAACCTTTACCAGTGCATGGCAAAGTACATTTGCTTGCTAGGAACATCAGGAAGGTGCCAGAAGACGAACAAGGATAAAGAAGAACAAAGCCTTGTCCCAGGGCTGAAGCAGAAAGAGATAGAGCTCATGCACTTGTATATGGGCCTTTAGAAAGCTTGGGAGAGGGACCGGATGCAGTGGCTCATGCCTGTAATCCCAGCACTTTGGGAGGCTGAGGCAGACAGATCACTTGAGGTGAGGAGTTTGAGACCACCCTGGCCAACATGGTGAGACCCCCTCTCTGCCCAAAATACAAAAATTAGCCAGACGTGGTGGTTTATACTTGTAATCTCAGCTACTCAGGAGGTTGAGACAGGAGAGTCACTTGAACCCAGGACACAGAAGTTGCAGTGAGCCACGATATTGAGCCACTGTGCTCTAACCTGGGTGACAGAGCAAGATTCTGTCTCACCAAAAAAAAAAAAAAAAAGCTTGGGAGGGTACTGTAGACACTGCTCTGTTAGCATTTTAGCATTTCCCCATGATTTAACAAGCTTCTAAAGCATCCTGTCTGCAGCTAATCACCCAGAGTCCACTTTTTCTTCCTGGGATCCTTTGCAGTTAGATGTGGCCGCGTGACTGAATTTTAGCCAAGGTAGCGTGGATATGGTTTGTACCGTTTCTGAGCCAAGGTTTTTAAAAAGCAGGGGGTGCCCCTTTCTGCTTCTTCCTTTTCTGCCAGCTTAATGAGGGTGATAACAAGGCCTTAGGGGACATGGGAGCCAAAAGGCGGAAGAAGCCTGGGTTTCTGAAAAACCAATGGAATCATATGGAACAGAGCCATCTGCTGATCAGGATCGCTTGCTTCAGACTATTATGTGAATGAAAGTTAAGCTTCTATTATTACCACAGCCTAAGATACCATCAACAGATGCAACTTAAATTACCTAATACTCTATTGTTAGACATTCATACTGGATAAACTGTATTTTGAGGTGTAGTATTGTGTGTTTAGCTCAGCTTCCTAGTAGTGGGGTTCATCAGATAAAATGCTTTTGGCTGTAACAGAACACCCAATTGAAACTCATCAACAAGAAGGGATTTATTAGCTAACTGGGAGTCCACTAGTACGCTGGACTACATTGTTTGCTACAATGATGTGAGGACTCAATTTCTTTCCGCCTCTCTTCTCTTTTAGACAAATGTTGTTTGCCTCCTAGGGTTGATTTCCTGGTGATTGTAGAAGAGCAGGCTGCAATCAGGCTTATACACTCCATTGTTCCCATGCAACAGGGAAGTATGTTTCCCACATTCAACCAACAGCAGCTCAAAGCTTTGTGCTGATTGGCTCATCCCTGAACCAAATCCTGTGGACATGCAGGTTGGATTCCCCAATGTGGCCTTGACCAATCAGGGCTGCCTGCTGGAGCTGAAGTTGGCCTGGTCCCACACAAACCACATGACTGCCACAAATGATGCCTATTTTTATAAAGGGACAGAGAGACTGGGTTGCCCAGATATACAGAGGAGGAAGTCACTTGACTTCAGCTTTTTCTGAAATAGAAAAAGTTCTTTTGAGGATGCTAAAAAAAAAAAGTGAAGTAATTTCACCCTTACATGGATTAAAATATGTCTCTGGAAAAATCACTTTCTGCAAAAAAGACAAGAGGATTGAAACTGTGAAAGAGGTAAATGATTTAAAGCCAAGGACACAGATTCCACAACCTGGGAGAAACTAAATGGCTTGGAAACAACGTCCAGCTATTTCAGAAATAATATGCGTGTGTGTTTATATATATATATATATATATATATATTTTTTTTTTTTTGAGATGCAGCCTCAGCCTCACTCTGTCACCCAGGCTGGAGTGCAGTGGCATCATCTCGGCTCACTGCAGCCTCCACCTCCAAGGTTCAAGCAATTCTCCTGCCTCAACCTCCCTAATAGCTGAGATTACAGTTGTCTACCACCACACCCAGCTAATTTTTTTGTATTTTTAGTAGAGATATGGTTTACACCATGTTGGCTGGGCTGATTTCAAACTCCTGACCTCAAGTGATCCACCCACCTCAGCCTCTCAGAGTGCTGCTAGAATTACAGGCATGAGGCACTGTGCCCAGCCAGAAATAATATTTTGTAAGAAGCACTTTCATAGTGAGATGGCACAAGGTGGCATAAAAAAAGTCAGTGGTATATCCTGATGTCATGTGCAGAATATTTAAGTTCAAATGTATTTATCAAACTGTTGCCTCCATGTTATTGAAATACCTTGCACACTTACCATGTGCATTAAGCCATGAGTCAAGGACACTACCTCTACACAAAGTTCAAGCCAGATACGCTGATCTTCGCTGTTTCCTGGACATTATACCATGTACTAGTAATAAAAGAGAGGTAGTTAAGTGCATGCTTTTCTTCTCTTATTACATTACTCTTTACCTTTAAGACAGGAATTAGATTTTACTTGTTGGTTCAGAGAATTAAGCCAATTATTTTAATGCAACATAAATAATTTCTCTCAGCACAGACGCTCTCTGATAGGCTTAAAACCCCTGCCTGTGAAATCTGCACAAAGAAAAGAAATGTGAAGAGATCTGCTATAATTAAGATT